CAAATTGAATTTAAAATAAAACAGCGGATTTTGTAAGTACGGGGGTTCCCTTAAAAGCTTGCCAACGAGATATCAACATGTTTTATGAAAATATGAAAGAAATGAGTAATGCAAAAATTTATATAAATATTTATAAAAAATTGACAAGTACATAAAAAAAATTATGTAAATTATATTTAATTGTTAAACATAATTTGTTTATTGACTTAAAAATTTTTATTACAGCTTTTGGGTTTAGACACTATAAAAGTAAACAAACTATATGTGATTGACAAAATTAAATTGATATGAAAACAAACCGGGACATATGTACAAAAAATTTATTACTTAAATTTAAAATGTATTTATTTATTTACAAAGATTTATTTAAAAAAAAATTTCATATTAACACTGAAGAGATGAGCAAAATTATTGCTTTTATCAAGTTTTGAAGATAATTAAAGTTTTTTATATATTAAAACTATCCTAAATTTATAATTTGAATAATATGAATAAAATATATTGCTATAATATCTTATACTATGTTACCACGCGGGACTCAAGCAGAAACTATTACCCAATGTTTCTACATTAACTATTTTTGTGATTATACTTTTGAATGTTCTGCGATAGCACAAAACCTTTGTCGGTTGTTGGTACAGGAAATTTCACGAGGAAAGCGGGTTAAGTTCATAACACTTAAGTCATATCTCTTAAGTCTTAAGTCATATCTCTATATAAGTCATATCTATTACACCACTCAGAGATAATTAACTACAGTTGGAGGTCATTCCTATATCAACTAATGAAAAATGCAGGAAGAATTGGATCGATGCTAGTAGAATAATTGTTTTGCACTGAATGGAACTTATACAATCTATATGGGAATCTATATTGGCCAAGGTGAAATAAATGAAGAATTGGAATAGTGCTAGCATAATTATACTGTACTTAAGTGTGGAATCTATTTTAGGCTCACTTAAGAAGTTGAATGCAATTGTTGAAACCTATTATAGGCTTAGGTTTATGTAAGACTTGTACATCAAAGCTCACTTGAGCTCTAATAATGGTCTATTATGATACCAAATTTAAATGTTTTTCGTACTTTCGCAATAATTTTGGTGAAGTTATCTGGGTGTAAGACTTAATGGCAATAAACTGTTTTATTTTTGGTTAAAGTTGATTTTTCTAAAATCATTTCTAAAATATTTTTCAACACAACTTAAATGAATCGCAGTGTTATTATTGTATAAAAGAACTAATCCAAAAAAAAAAATATTTAAAAACACGATACTAAGTTCCTCACTTCAATATGTTTCTTACACTTGCTTAAATATATTAATATTATGCAAATCCGCTAAAGGAATTTTAATTAAAATATTTAAGCATATAATTTTTAATAAACGTTGAAATCTAATAACAATTTTAACAACTTTGAACTTTGCTATTAGCATACATAGGCATATGCCTTTTTACCTCTTCACCACTTATGTATTCCTGGCTGGACTTACTTGGCTACTTGGCTTACTTGGATTTTAGTTTAAATGTAAATCAAAATTATAGTGCAAAGTCTCTGATTTCTGGTAGTAAAGTACAACATTGATGAAAAAAACGTAAGATTGCATGTTTCGCGCATATAAATTGAGTGGTAACAATTCTACATTATGGAATTTTACCAAAACGCCGTACAGTTCCTTCCACAGATACTTTCACTCACACACATAGTCACTCCATAGTCAAGCGCTCGCACACGAACAAAACTCTCGACGGCATATTTGAAAGTAATTCCAGGACAAAGTTAGTCCGAGTCTATAGTATATTAAGCCTCCGCTCTCTGCAAGAGCTATTAACATATTAATAAATTTCGAATTTTGAAAGGTTATACTTTAAGGTAATTTTAGCGCTTCACATAATTTTTGCACTTAACATGGAACACTATAACGGCTAAAGTGTGCTGGCAGGTCGCACATATATGTGAGGCTACTTGCGGGTCGGGTCCTTCATGCCAAATGGCGGCGAAATTATGGCAGCTCATATTTTAAGCTATGCACGCCTACATTTAGGTTTTAAATTATAAAAGACTTTCGCGTGTCGCCATTGTTTAAAAACCTCATAAAAGGAAAATACAAATTGTGATTTTGATTTTTATTAAATTAAAATAAAATTTATTTTATATACTATATATATACTTATTATATTTACTTATATATAGTGTGTTTTAAAAAGCTTTGCACAAATCTTGATGCTTAAGCATATTTTTATTTAATACTAGATTCAGAAGTCAATAAGATACTGAAGTACAATTAATATAATAAAGTGAAAATTAGATTTAAATTAGAAAAATATATTTTTAACAAAAAAAATTTCAAAGTAATCTGACTGCTTTCAGAAATATTATGAGATAACTATCATCAGTGATTTTTAGAAATAATTGTTCATATATAATTTTAAACCATGGATCACATACGGCCCGCGATAATGTTTGTACGGCTCGCGGCATCTACCACAATTACGTACATTTTCTTTTGATGGTAAAACATTATTTTATTTTTATTGTATACCAAATAAATGACATTAAATTAATAAAATTAAATTCAACAATATAACTCTTTTTTTATTTTTATCCAAAACAACTATAAACGTATGTATTTGTTTCTGCAGCCCTCCAATCTGTGCAGTGATTTGTATTGGTTCACGATCTCATCTGATCCCTGACAACCCTGCTGTAGACTATAATACTATTTTATATATTTCTACCAAATAAAAATATTATTTATTTTTTTATTTATTATATTGGTATAAATAAAATATTATAACTGAGGGGGAAAAGAATACTAACATATAATAATATAATATATATAATATATATATATGGGTGTAAATAAAACGTTATAACTTAGGGCGAAAAGAATACTCGCGGTAAACGCTTACGACTCTTCGAATAAATTAAACCTTAAAATTAGAAAACAAATATATTAACTAATGAAAATTATGCCTAATATAACAGAATCGAGCTATAAAATAAAGAGATATATACTGAATATATACTGAAGACATCAAGTGAAAATATTTTAATTGAAGTTAAGATATCAAATAGAGGAAAGGAATTTATAAATAGGTTCTATGTTTTCAAAAACAAGCTGTGGGAAAGGGTATTAAAATAACGTTGCCTTTAATTGAAGAAAACGCGACATTAATTGCTGATATATAGAGGTTATGGTATATGGAACTATTGTAAATGCTGCAGAGATTCAGAAAGGTACCTGTAAGTAATTGTTTGTGGGGGATAAAGGTGTAACCACGTTATATAGTATATTAAAAAAGTGTTATAATGTGCACATACATATATAACACCGGCAGAAGACTATAATAGTCACTGCCGTAAAAGCGCACAGACCATAAAATGACGTTGCCTTTGATTGAAGAAAACGCAATATGAATCGCGGATATCCATATAAGAGGTGTTATAATATACACATTAATTGTTGTATACATATATATAATTATCTGAATAAAGTTTTAACCAACTAACTTACATATATAACAATTTACATATATTTATAGCATTATATAAACACAGTAAATATTTATTTATATCATATACAAATGCATTTGCATTTTTTTTTTTAAATTTTTTTTATATATTTATTTATATTTTATTTATATATTAACACTTTTTTATTTACACATTCACTTATCAGTTGATAAAGTTTTAATTAATATATAATAATTTTTAATTAAAAGTATTTATTTTTTTATTAAATTTTTTTTAGCATAATTTTTATTTTAGTTGTTGTTTTCTTTACAAAAAAACATTAAAATAAATAATACAAGTAATTATAAAATATATTATACAAATTAAAATAAAAATTAAGATCAAGGCCTGAGAAATTATATACAGTAGAATGTTTTTCAACAAATCTTAAAGAATCAATTAAATAATTACATATAATTATTTAAAAAAATTAAACAAAATTTTACAAAAATTTAATCAAAAAAGGGCTTAATAAAACTATTAAAAAAAAAGTGAAAAGTTTATGAAAAATTCATAAAATGAAATAAAAAAAATATATACATAACCCTTATATTTTTAACCACTAAAATATGATTTATACTTATATTTTATATGTATAGAAGTACAATTTTATATACATGTTAAATATTTCTTTATATTATTTTGTTTATTATCAAATTAATTATGTATAATTCTCATTATGTTAGAATATTGTGCACCTCGATTCAACGTGGTTAATCCCATTGTAAATAATATAAAATAATAATAATATAAAATAATAATATAAAATATAAAATATCATAAAAAAAAATTTAAAAGTACTTAAAAAATAATAAATTTACAAGGGGACAAATTTGAAATATATAAGTTTTAGTGGCGTGGCCAGAATTGTGGGAAGAAATATAGAAATCTGCAGGTTCTGTTTTTAGTACCTGTAGATTATAATATTGAAAGGTAATCAGATAAATGGCTATAAAATTATTTTGACGGAAATGGATTAAATAATTTGTTTAAATAATAAAAAAATTTTTTAATTTAAAATTAAAATAATATAAAAAATTAATATTTAAATTTAACTATGAATATAAAAATATAAATAAAATTAAAATTTATTAAATTGAAAAATAAGTAAAAAATAAATAAATAATAAATATATTAATATGTAAAAGTATTAATAAAAGTGTATCAAAAATTTATTTTAACAAAAGCTATATACATATATAAGTAGAAATAAAAATTTCTTTTAAAAAAAAAAAAACTACAATGAAACCTATTAAAATTATTATAAAAAATTCTATGGAAAACATATAAAAAATATAAATACACCTTGGTAAACAAGGCTATATGCCTATGTTAATTAACAAATCTGAATGAGAGATCACTTATGTGCCGCAAAGTGTAGCGCTCAATTAAATACTTATTGATAATAAATTTTTATACATATCACATATTTGTTTTTGTTTTGTGTTTATAATAAATAGTTAACATGTTAATCGTTTTTCCACAACCATTGAGTGCAGTTGTACTGCTTTTAATCGCAATTTCGCTGGAATTTCTTATCGGTTCCATTTTCGAAATATTGACACTACAAATTTATCATATCACAGTTTACGTTTCAGGCGCCGGTGTTTTGACAGTTTCTACGTCTGGCGAGTCATTGCGCCACTTGTGAGTTTTTGTCACCCAAATGCCAGTTGCCAGCATGAGAACGCCTAACGTTGTGAATCCAATTCCAATATATTGACCAGTACTGGATATACTCAATGCGAACTGTAATAAAACAAAATGCATGAGAGATATAGTATTTCATATGTGGATTCATTTCAGTTAACTGATGCAATTGATTTATACCTTTACGGTCTTAAGTATATCATCTGTTATATCTGCTTGAATTTGTACAACAAAGAGTGGTGCATAAAAATCATAGGCAAGATTTCTTAGGAAGCTGGAAAAGATAAAGCATGAGAAATATATGCAATTTGTTAATAGATAAAGTAAATTAATAGATAGATAATAATAAATAAAGTTAAAAAATATTTTATAGATTTCTATCCAATTCCTTTTTTTTCTTTATTAGATTGAATAAAAGGAACTTTGTCAGAGAACTTGAATTTTCAAATTCATGAGGATGAGTTTTGAAAATCGGTTGTTTAAAAGTATGTTTTTGTTTTTCATTATTGAAATCGATTAGGAACTGCTTTCTAGAAGTAGCGATTTAAGTTTATTGTACTCTCTTAATAAATGTTATCTTAATTTCTTTTATAATTAAATATAATTGAATTATAAAATTCGGACATTTTGTACACAGTATATATGTATTATACACAACATATGTTATATTATGTTTCCACTACAGCTAATAATATGTGTCCACTAGCAACGTTTAACCAGTTAATTAACTTGAGATTGCTTGAATTACTTGAATTTCAAGTACCTTAATTGGTCAAACGAAGCTATTGAAAACGTAACTACTTAACATATGTAATTAATTATTATTAAATATTAACTACTAATGTAATTAAGATCCATTGGTATGAACTGATTTGTGCATGTGAAATAGTATATTTTTTTTTGATTTTACATATGAAACATATAAGAAATATTTTCAATTTTGGTAATTTTTACCAAAATAAATTTATTTTTAAGGGTTGCATTCGACATTTTTTACATAAATGAGCTGATTTATTGATAATGAGTTCATTTATATTATAGTAGCAAAACCACCTAAATGAGATAGAGTGAATGTGCTAATAGACATCTTTTATATGCCTAATAATTATTATTAATTATTTATATATCCCTATGGTTAAGTAGGTTATACCCAGATATAAAACAGCTTAATACCATGCTCCCATTGGCTTCATATAGACAATTTTATTCAATAAGGCCGATAATGAAGACAATTTACAATACAATGAGCTTTTATATAAATTAGCTCATTATAAATAAATGAACTCATTTAAGTTAAAAAATGTCGAATGCAATCCTTAAAAATAAATTTATTTTGGTAAAAATTACCAAAATTGAAAATGTTTGTCATATGCTTCGTACGTAAAATTAAAAAAACATACTATTTCACATGCACAAATCAGTTCATACCAATGGATCTTAATTACATTAGTAGTTAATATTTAATAATAATTAATTACATATGTTAAGTAGTTACGTTTTCAATAGCTTCGTTTAACCAATTAGCGTACTCGAAATTCAAGTCATTCAAGCAATCTCAAGTTAATTAACTGGTTTAACGTTGTTAGTGGACACATATTATTAGCTGTAGTGGAAACAGGTAATACATTAAATCAGATAATATTAAATTTTGTTGCTTTTTTCCCTTTAATTTTATAATAGAAATGGGGCATAAGACGAAACCGGGTTTCATTTTTGAAAATATGTTTTTCTGATTAGATATAGAGTAGAGAAAATTAATCTTAATTTTAGTTATTAATTTTTACTAAAAATGTAATTAAATTATTATTATATTATTATTATAATATATATGTTAAGATTAAGTTTAAGGCCGAGTCTGTGAAAGGCCACACATTTCATGTATTGATACGTTGTGGTAAGATGCAGGTTTATACTTTATAGAAGGTGATATTTATATTCATTATGCGAGACCCTACCTGCATTAATATAAACAATTCATTTTCATCGTACATCCGAATTTTTCGGTGTGATTTTCTGATAGTTTTTTTTAAAATTGGTACCTTGGTTTTTGATATAGCTGGGTATCTATATAATGAGAGAAAAATTGCTAATTCAATTTTTTTCTAATGCCTATTATTAATTGCTTCTCGGTGATCATCATTTTGAGGTTTTAGTCTCTTGACTACACATTCAGCAATAACAGTTTAGTTATAAAGGTTATATTATTGCTAAATTCGGTAATACTATCAATACCGAATATAAATAATGTTATATATTATTAACTCGGTTTTGAATAGCTGTAAAGGTTGGTGTTAAGTTTAACTATTAACTACAATTTTTTATCTAGTTTATACTATTCATAAGGAAAAATTAGTATTGCCGTGGATAGTTTATAGAGGAAATGAGCACTTAAATAATTATTTTATATTTATTCACTGACATTGTTATTATAAATATATAATTATTATTGTTTTTATTACTTTCTGTATTAAATATAAATCAAATAAATAAAATATTTTTTTTTAATTAATGACACAAATTAAAAGTGAACGTAATTTTAAAATTAAAAAGAACTTAATAACATATTCACGCCACTGTTTGGCATAATTTAAATTGGACTGAATCTAAAAGCCATTCATAAAAATTGTAAGATTAGTAATATTATTATTATTAAATATCACTAATCTTTTATTGATATAACTATACAAAAAAATGTTGCAAACATGGGAACAAATTTAAAAACAAATAATAAAATTTGGCAATCAGAACTTCATTTATAGATTGCAAATTATCAAAGGTACTTGACATGCACATAAGTTAGTTTTAAAATAAATAATTATTAATTTTTGTTTATTTATTTTTTTTGTTTTGAAAAATTCTTTAAATTTTCGTAAATAAAATAAATGTAAAATTGTGTATATAGATAATAGTAATGCTTTTTTGTGTGTTAATTCTAATATATCATACAAATAATACTCCAAATGTCTGTACATTAAGACAATCGAACACTTTAAAGTTAGAATGCACTTCGAATATCTGGTTGGAATACTACAAGTTTTCGAACATATTTGAACGAATAAAACAAATATGATTTATGTTTGATCTTATGTTATATATATATATATATATATATATAGTATAATACCAAATGCTGAAACATGTCCTCGAACCAACAGTTCAAGGATATTCGAACATTGAAATATTAAAAATTTCGAACAGCTCAAAAAATATTTGAAAAGGTGGTTATAAATGAAGAGCGATTAACATCGGTCAGTTAAATGATGATAAGAATTTTCAAACTCTGATATACGAAGAGTGTTTGCAAAGTTTTTTTTTTTATTTTGCATCACAATTTTATCTTTCCTTGATAGACTTTTTTCAACGATGTTTCAAATTCTTTATAAATATCAACTTGCAACGGATATAACCTCTTTATTTGATACGTATGTAATTATTATTTGTGACTGAACTTTATAGCCAAAGAATAGTCGCTTGAAGATTAGATTTGCTAAATAGGGGGGATTAAAAATTTTAGCCAAACGTAAGTTGGTATATAATGGTTTTCTTTTACAAATAATTGACTTTTTGTGTGGTCTTTGTCATCAAATTTTTTAAATTTTTTAAGAGAGTTAATTACGTTATTTTAATGTTTAAGTACCAACATTTAATAAATACAGGTTAATTATATTCCACAAAAAGATAAAATAAAAAAATAATGATTAGTGTAAAAGAAGAAGTACTTACTCGATATCGTCATTTCGTTCAATAAATAGACTTATCAGAACTTGTCCATTAACATAGAGTGGTGCACCCAATTTTGGTTCCATGATAATTTTTATGCCATGTTTTTCAGCAATTGGCGATAGACCAGTTGTATTCTCTAAATACAAAGGATCTGTCATATAAAAATGAGGATGAGATACAAATACTGGCGCACGTTTAGCAACTGGTGAGAAATCAATTACACCATTTTTAGGGCATTTACGTCCTTCAGTACAGAAACATTTTGTATCTGGTGCAACATAACCACTATCGAAAGTTTGATCTGTAGAAGTGTACACCCAGCCTTCAACTCCACGATAATTAATAACTTCTTGTGGAAACAAATTAATAAAGCGTGAAACATCTGATATAAATATGGAAATAGTGTCATCCCAGCTTTTACCCGGCGCCCAAATATCACCGGTGCTACCATTAATTTTACCACAATCGCCTTTCCAAAAGCCTGTATGTGCTGAACCATTCCAAAGTTTTAGATCACCCAATTGTGAGAGATCATCTTTACCAGTGTGTATTGTAAAACTACCTTCAGCCTCTTTACTGTTGTTACGTCCATAAAACCAAGCAAACTTATTTACATAGATTGGTAATAAAGGTGAGTGCAAACGTTCAACGAAATCCAATAAATGCTCATAAAATCCATGGAATAGCCAATCTATTGCTGAATGGGTCATAGTTAAGGCTCCTCCCTCACGGTTTAGTCCAAAGTTAACAACTTTACGTATAATTTTGTTGAAGCTGAGCGAAAATTTTGAAGCAGCCTGAATAAGGGAATGATTGTTATTATCAAAATTATATATTTAGCAAGCTAAAATAGTAGTATGTACTCTAGTCTCATATATATTATATATATTATATATATATATATATGCATAAAGTTTAATTAAGTTTATGTGTAGATAATGAAATATATCTGAGTCATGACTTATGTATATATATATATATATATATATTATGTATTTTATACATTATTTTATATATTATATATTACATTTTATATATGCAAAAATACAAAAAATACAAACAAAATCAAATGGTTTAATACTCCGTACAAATATGGATACAAAGGTTAATATACCACTACACCAGTGTTTCCCAATGTGGGGCAATTGCCCGCCATAGGGTGCAATTAGTTTGATAAGGGCACTATTTGAATTTACGCCTATGTAACCGTTGTTAACTTTTTAACAACGCTGACTAGGAAGACTAGCCGTTTCCGAAATATATATAAATATAAATGAGAACAATTTTGTTTACGGGGACTGTATAAGACACGCTTCTTGTAGGTATATGCTAGGGTGGTGAAGAAAATAGTTGAGAAGCCCTGCTTTATATAAATATCTATTCACAAAATAAAAACAGTTATGTTTAGCTGTTTTAACTCAGTGTAAATATGTAATAGCAAAAAAAAGATAGACTAAGTAATACGTTAGTTCATGATGGAAAAGAAAAAGATTGCAAAAATTTAGATAAAAATTTTTAAACATATATTAGGGGTATTCTCACCGAAGTCGGTAATTCGGTACTCGATATATATATATATATATATATATGTATTTAGTTTTATTTTTTTTTTTGGATATCTGAAATTATGTTTTGTGACATAGCTTACAAAGTAGTGCAATTTTTACAACAGTTACCTTTTTTTATATATTTTAATTTTTTTATATTTTTAATAATATCACTTAAAATATGAAATTGTTTTTCATTTTAAAAATCAACGCTGCAACATTTATCATACTTACCATCGTTGGAAAATGTGGAGTTGTAATCATATCATCTAGAGAACCATTTGATTTTTCAGCATCAAAATACCAATTCCGAAGTCCAAAGAAAGTAACCGTATTGTTCTCATCGTGCCACTTTAAATCCTGTTTAATTTTAGTATCTCTGAAATAATAAGGACCAACTTCTTCGAAATGTGGTCTTACATCTGGATTATAGGCTTGATCCGGATTTGTCCAATTGTACAAATAAAAATTCATGTACAGAGGTATGGGCGTAACTTCCCATTTGTTGAATGTATACGAACCTGGTGATAAAGGTAACATCTGCAATATATTTTAAATTCAGTTGCAGTTTCAGATAGAACATTTTGACATATCAAACCGAGTTAATTATTGTGTTGGATATATGCGGCCAAGCGGCGATTAACACTATTCCAATCACTAGGAACAATGTACCCAATGTGAAAACCCATATTTTCTGTTGTCTAACACTGCAGCAATTACAACACATTTTTTATTATTAACTTGTTTTGTTCTTAAAGGACTATTTCAAATAAGGATTATTAATTTAATGAAAACTTAATTAGATATTTGTGAAGCCTCAGTTGATTTTGTGCAGTCTACACTCTTTTTTGCACTATTTATTACGTTTGCATACTACGAAAATTTTGTTTGGATTTTGGTAGTTCCAGATTAGATTTGTAGTATTTATTTTTGCAAATTATTTCCATATGAGTATTTTAATATATCAGCTAAAGTATTTATTTACTTTTCTTCAACGGGAAAATTTAGATAATGAGCTTAACTTTTTCTATAATTACTTTATTAGATTGGGCAGATTGGGGAGTACTAAAATTATAAGCCGTACGCGCACTTTAGCTTGTTTGGTTTGCAATTAAATTAACTGATAAGAGAATGATAGCTTCGTGGGGTCTCGGAAGTGTGCAAATAGTTTATTTTGTAGAAGAGATTGTGTCCAGATTGCGATTGGACTTAACCGAATGATAAAGCAATTCGATAATGTCGGGTTTATTTGGACTTAGTGAAATAAATTTTTATAGAAGAATTAATAAATATTAAACCCAAATTGATGTAAATAACAAAAAATATATTAACTTCATAAAAATATAATTTTTCTAAATCAACTTTTAATCATTTATCTTGTATTTTTCTAGGAGCTCAAAATTTAATATACTGAAAATTCAATCATTAACTGGATTCTTTAAATTGTTTTTAAAAGCTTTACATAAGAATAATTGGATTATACAAATACCTGATTTCAAAGGTCAAAAATATTTCAAGTTTAATATAAAATTATAATTTAATGAATTATGTATTTTTGAACAAGTTAATTGGTCACACAAATTTTCAAATTATTTTTAATAAAATTTGTTTAATTATCACCAATATTTTAACTATAATCTCTAGTCATCTTCAGGGTATAAGAAGAAGCTTTACCATATGCTTTACCACATTTGTGTTTTTTTTTGTTTTTTGACAGTAGGTGGAAGCATCGAGAGCCAGCCACCGTGTGAGACTTGAACCCACTAATCCAGCTCTTAGCATGAATGGAGAAGATATCCACAGCATTGTGAAAACTTCATTCCAGTAATCAGGGGAGAGAGGAAAAAAATAAGCTTAGTACCTAGCAGGCTAGATTCATCTAAGCCAGAAAGCGAGGGCGTACATTAGGGAAATTGGTTTATGAAGAAGGGGGTGGGGTTAGAGCAGATTAGCAGGGGCGAGGTTAGCGGTAAACTTTGTGACTAGGGTCACGAAAACCGCGGTTATATTGGGGAATCAAGTGGATGTTACGGTCCCACTCATCGAGGTAGTGGAACAGGTATTGGGGAAGTTTAGAGCGCAAGACTAGAGCAAGATCTTCAGGAAGGGTTATAGGAATAGAGACGTCAGGCGAGAGGTCGTGGAGGCGGGTAAGGTACCTACGAGCAAGTGTCAAAAGGTACTTGTCAATGCGAGTGATCTTGGCATTGTCGTGAAGGACAGAGATGGAGAAGTGCTTGCCGTTAGGATTGCGATATTTGTGTTTGCTTTGTTCTTCCCTATTAAATATAATCAAACACTTGATATAATTAAAAAATGCATAAAATTGTTGTTTCCTTAAAAACCAAAATATTTTAAAATAGATTGCTTTGAATATTAAAAAAAAAATATAATTTCTTCAAAGTTCAAACTAAATTTACATTTAAAAAAATTTATATTGACAGGATAAATATTTGAGCGTTTTATATTTCATTTCGATCCTATATTTTTATTTTTATTTTCTGGATCTGTATTTTATGAGAATTTTAGCAATGGCTCGAAAGAATATTAAAAAAAGTACTTATACAGTTAATTCTGTCTTGAAGGAACGCATAAATGTGGACAAATATAGACAAGAAATGACTGCGGCATGGATTAATGATATTCCTGATGATGCTCTACCAGTGGAAGATGTGGAAGATTTTGATGAACGATTTAAAAAGGAATATGCTAATAAAGAAGGCCCTTCTTCACTTCGAGGAATAATAGAAAAATACAAAAAATTACCACTTGATGTAAAACTTAAACCTGTAAGTGCATTACCAAAGGGTTCAAAAGAATCAGTATCGGTTGAAAATATTGGTATTTCTAAGTCACAAAATTTACCAAAACAAAAAGCTGTTGATCTTGAAAAACAAAGCGTTTTAAAAAATAACGTCCAGTCTAATATAATAAAGAAATTGAAAGAATTCGAGAAGTCTGTATTATCGCAGGCATTTAAGAACTTGCAAGATAATCCATATTCATCAACATCAACTCTGCAATCACAAAGTACACAGATAGGTTTTCCATTGAAGGCACAGCCGAATTCACCTTCATCACCAGCTAAGACGAAGTATGATACTCAGATATTATTCCAAAGATCCAAAATTTACAAGTATGGTGATACAATTCCGGATACCATGCCAGAATTCAAAAATTTTGTGGGTCCTCAAAATGCAAGAACCAATGTGAAAATTGTGAAGAAACATCAAAGCATAGCAGTAGGGTCAGGAAATATGAATAAGTTACAAAGTGTTACGGTAGGTGCTAAAAAAACCAAAAACATACACGGCAATTTCACTGGATCTAGAAATGCGCAAAAACTGCAAGAGGCATTATTTGGAACGAATAATGTGCACAAATTGCAAGAATCTTCGATTGAATCGAAAAATGTACACAAATTGCATGATCTCTTGCCTGAATCCAGACGTGCGCATAAATTGCACGGTGCTTCGATTGAACTTAAAAATGTGCATAAATTACAAGATGCATCTATCGAACCGAAAAATGTGCATAAATCGCAAGATCTCTTGTCTCGATCCAGGCGTATGCATAAAATGCACGGTGCTTCGATCGATATTAAAAATGTGCATAAATTACAAGACGCTTCGATCGAACCAAAAAGTGTACCTAAATTACAAGATATTTCGTCAGGACCCAGTACTGTGAATAAAATAAAAAAAACTTTTATTGGACCAAAAAATATCTGTGGATCTGAAAATATACATAAAAGTCAAGAAAGCGTTACAAAACCTACAAATTTAAATAATTTGCAAGATACTTTAATAGCATCTAAGAGTATGTATATAAAGGAAACTGCCTTCACAGGAGGTAAAAATGTGAATAAAACTGGAAACACCTTGTTGGAGCCCATCCATTCACATAAACTGCAAAACAATTTATTAGAAACTAAAAATAAATTACATGATACCTTGAGAGAACCTAGAAACGTGAAAAAAGTTTCTGATTTCGTGAGGGAATACCAAAATTTAAATGAATCGAAATTAACACCGTTGGACCAAAAATATGGAAAACAAGTACTAAAAACTGAATTTGAAGCAATAAATAAAAATAATTTGCAAGATGTTGTGATGGAATCCAAAAAAGTAAAGATGATTCCAAATGTTGTAGTAAAATCTAACAACAAACATCTTCCTCAACAATCCGCTTTAGGCTCTCGTAATGTGAATAATTTAGAAGATGTTGAAAAAGCATCCAAAATTATGAATAAACGTGAAAGCAACCATGTGGTTCCAATGAACGTAAAAAAAGTTCCACTTCACATAAATCCGAATAAAGGTGAGAAAAGTACGATAGATCTAGGAAATGTAAAGATAGTTCAAAATACTATAAATGAAGATACCTTTAAAAATGCTGAGAAAAGAACAATAAATGTCAAAAAAATTGAAAAGGATAAGTTTGTTTCTGGGAACGTAAATAAAATGAAAAATATAGTTGTAGTTGATAAAAAACCACAAGTTCCCTTAATACCTCAGACAAATCTGAATAAACGCGATGAACCTAAGACAAATCCGAGATATGTGAAGAAAGTTCAAAACACCATTAACTTTGCTTTAGATAATGCTGAGAAACCAAAAATAAATGTAAAGAAAGTAGAAGACCGTAAGTTTGTATCTGGAAACGCAGATAAAATAAAAGAAGTGGCTGTTGGTGATAAAAACCATCAAGTTTCATTAATACCTTTGCCAAGTCTGAATAAGCGGGAACAACCTAAGACCGATCCAAAAAATGTAAAGAAAGTGCAAAATACCATTAATGAAATTTCTTTAAAAAGTGCTGAGAAGCAAACAATAGATGTGAAAAACGTAGAGGAAACTAAGTTTGTATTTGGAAATGCAAATAAAATAAAAGAAAAGGTTGTAGATAATAAAAAACGAGAAGTTGCCTTGATAGATGCAACAAATGCAGTGAAGAAACTTCAAATGGAAAACGCTGAAATCGTCAGTAAGCTTCACAATATTATGGCTGAATCCATCTTAGGTTCAAGACTTGTAAGAAAATCTCAAAAGGGTGCGACCAAAGATAAAAATGTAAATCGACTTACTGGTGGCATAACTCCGTCAAAAATGACAAGAACACTTCAAGATGTCTTAACAACTAAATCTCAAGATATTCCGCTAACAAGGAAATCCAATAATGGCGTCGGGACAAAAAATAAATTGGACTACATGCACATTTTAGAGAAACGTAATTTAGGTGTAAGTGGATTTTCTGCACCTTACAAAAAAAGCTATCACCAATATGATTTGATTGGGAAAATCTCAAGTGAAACTAATGAGGTTTCGAAACCAAATCGCGTATTTAATTCAAAAACCTCAGCAATTTGTAATATTTCTCCTAACATAAAGAGTTCCAAAAAAAAACCAACAGCTATGGGATTTAAAGAAATTTATTCGACTAAGTTGACTGCAAAGCCATCAAATAAAAAACCAGGAACAATGACCAATTCATCAAAGGAAGCAACTAAAGTATTATTAAGAAATAAGAGTAAAGTCGATAAAAACGTTAAATCTAAGCAATTAATTAACAAAACTAATAATACATCACCTGTTGTGAATTTTCCACATGTCGTAGGTCAACCTATAAATAAGCAGAAGCCGACAACTCTCATTACTGGTGCAGTAAAAAAAGCTGAAAACCCAAAAACAAAGAACTCTCTGAAGTCAAGACTACTACAAAATTCTTCAGTAAAGAATAAAAATGATAAATACTTGGAAATTCAACAATCTTTAAAGAAGATTACGCTTTCCAGTGGTAAATAATAATCATTAAAATTTGTTTTTAATTATATTTAATATTACTTATTAATACAAATTATTTATATATATAATCTTTTTTCGAACAAAGCTCCCAAATTTCAAGCGACTAAAAAGAAAAAACTTTGAAAAATTGATGCATTCGTCCATAGTACACCATAGGAATATGTACGAAACCTTAAATGATGAAATAGGATGCAGAGGTATCAACATTGGATGAAATTGACTTAGAAAAGGTCAAATAAATTTTATTGATTTTGTGATTTATTTTGTATTGTATTATGTTTAATTTTAATAAAAAAAAATGAAAAAAAATACGTGAATTCATTTTATTTATATTATATTTATTTGTCATATATATATATCAGCTGTATTAAAAACATAACTATATCATAATTAAGATCTTTCTGAAAAAGACTTTAGTCTTGGAAAAGCAATGTCATTTTTTCAATACCTAAAACACGTCATTTCTTTTTGAATGAAGTATTGGGGTTTGCAAAATCTTGATCCTCTACCTTATCATAGAATATATACCCAAAAAGCAACTACTAAATACTTTAAAGTTTATCCTATCTTTTTAATAAAATGTTTGCCTTGTTGGCCTTATTGGAATTTGAATCTTCAATCTAACAGTTAAATAAGGCTCTGTCCCATATTCATTAAGGATGATAAAATGGATTGTGCATAATACAGATGAATATACTTGTATATAGTGTAAAAAATCATAAAACCAATAAAATTACCAATATTTATACTATCAATAAATATGATTTAAAATATATAGTAGCATAGAACTAAGATTTTGCGATGGCAGTGGCATTTGAAAAGGGATACAGATTCATCAACTCTGATTGTAAACAACGGATAATAGGCTTAGTATTGATGAGTCGATCACTCTCTTATGACTGTTTTGATACAAAATAAGTAATCTGACACTTGAGTAATTTTGTACTTTTAGATTTAAATGTTGATGGATTAACAGAAATTACCCAATATTGAATTGTCTGGCTTACATATGCCAGACAATAAAAGATATATAGCATTAAAAATTTCTTAAATAATTGAAACGTTTCAAATCACCATTAATAATAAAAAGCGAAACACGTATTAAAATCGACAGATAAATAAAATGGTTCTTCCAGTTACTGGCACCAATACTGCTTAAAAAATAGTTATATACAAGACCTTAGTCTATGTATGGGTTTGAAATTCATAGCTTATAGAAACAAGTTTATGATCTTTTTTAGAGGAAATGATTCAATGAGATAAAATGATGATGAAGATGGAATAAGTTACCACAACGAGCTGTTATACAGTAGGGCTATTATTATAAGGTACATTAAAAGACAAAAACTAAAAGGGGCTGGTTGCCAAAAAAAATAAAGAAAAATGATTTTAAGCAGAGACAGTAAGGGTCTAACACTCTATCTGAATGTCTATTTTTAATGCCAAAAAAGAATAAATGAGGGACTGTAAGATCTATTAAACATCGTACAAGAAAAAAAAGGAAAAACAATTTTAAAATAAGCAAGGGTCTTACACTCTGCCTAAATTATTATGTCAAAGAAAATAAATGAAGAACTGTAAGACCTAATAATCACCGTATACACCACATGAACAGTTATGCCAAGAATAATAAACAAAAACGATTTTTGGTATAGACAGTAAAAGGGTCCTACTCTCTGTCTGGACAGTTATACCAACGAAAATAAATGTTGACATTAAGAACTATATATTGTACACGCTACATGGACAGGCATGTCGAGAAAAAAGACGAAAAACGATTCTAATAAATGTTTGCTCTTATTTCATTGGAACTGACTGAAATATTTCTTATCTTCGTTTTATACAATAAAATCTAGTACTTCACCCCAGAGGCATACTGCTTATTATTTGTATTTCCAGTTTACATTCAAATGAGATATTAATTCCCTCATCAATAAGTAAAGTTACTTAGCTTGAATAAAAACCTTACTGATTTTATATATTCTCAAGTAAAAGAGAATATATTCTGATTTTATTTTTTAATTTTATTTTTTCCAAAAAAAAATTTTTCTGTATTTAAAGTTATTTACCGTAGCTGTGATAGCTTATCTACACCATCTACTGACGCAAAATTTATTCCGAAGTCAATGTATTTATTTATTTCCAGAAAATAAGATTTGTAAAATATTTAATCTATCAAATTTAGCGAATTTCTTCAATAATCTCGATATGTTTTCATATAGTTTTTATTTATATCTCATATTTTACAAAATTGTGAATGTTATCAGTAAGAAAAATCACGAACGTTTTTGAAAGATTGATGCTGAAGGTCTCACTGATATAAACTAAATGATCCAATCTAAGTTACCATTTCAATGGGCATAAAATTACTTAAAGGTAATTATGTGTATAACAGCATATGTGAAGGATACGAGTTAATCTTTATTCCTAAATAATAATTAAAATAAGTTTCTAAAAATAAATGTTAGAAACATAATTTTAGTTTTCTTCCTCGTACTCTCTCTTGACTCGGCAACACTCATAATACTCCAATTTCGATCTGCACTTTAATATGGTGCTGTTCTTATAAAGTTATTGAATATTATTCCCTTTTCGCATGTTTCTCTTAAACTGATTATTATGAAACTGATTATTATTTTAGTAAAACTTGAAAACATTGTATATTAAATTTGAATCCTGATATCATGATTAAGTTTGTTGTCTGAATAACTAATAATACATGGCCATGCTCTCCCACACGTATGTGTATAATATGAACATAACTGATTTCATGGGTCTTTCAGCAAATGTATGTCCTCTCAATACTCTTGTACGTAGTTGTTTCCTATGTTGTACTCAGAAAAATCACCGTAAAAAATTTCATTCTTGATGCTTTTGGACTTGGTCAACTTAGAATTGTTTATTCACCCACATATTCAAAGGAGACAGGAAGAATATTTTGCAATTATCTAAAAATGTTAAAGAAACTGGTTTCGGATTTAGCGCGTAAATATACCATATTCTACACAATTGTTGAGTATACCCTTAAACCATCTGTGAAAAAACACAGATTAGAAATACCGAAAAAGTTTAACATTTTAGAGCAGCAGTCGCAGAATTGTCCGTCGTTTTTTGTTTTTGCTGAGCGTAATATTCAATGAATATCTCTTAACAGTGACAGGGACCCAGTGTAGAGATTAAAACCAATACAAAAATGTCAACTAGACTGATTTTGCCAAACATTTGTTTCTGCGATTTAACATTATGAAAATGGGCTGGAAATTGTTATTTCGCCGTGGACAAGGACCATTGCGGGGGTTTTATTTACGCCGTGATCCTTAACTTGTATATATATACATATATTATATATATATATTATATATATATATATATATATATATATATATATATATATATATTTATGTATATGTTAATGTATATTTATATGTATTTAGGGTATGTCTGTCAGGGTACAATACATCCATGATTTGGAAAGAAATTAGTAATTATGATAGAGTTGTTTAAGTATTAACTATTTTTGTTTGTTATTTAAATTTTGCCATATATTATATGGAGATTAATTATATTAAAAAATTTTATATATAAAAAATCAAATATTCACATATTTTTAGGCATTTATTACTAAGAGCTTTTTTAAGAAATTTGTAGGTATGCATTTTTTTATTACCGCTAAAAGTATTTATATGTTACTATTGATAATTAAAAATATTTAATTCAATTTTTTATTTATTTTTCGAAATTGCAAAAAGAAAAATTTTGGGCACACTTCAACAGTCACATCAAATAAAAATAACTTAAAAATCATTGTAGGATTCAGGGACCAAAAGTAATAGTTATTTCAAAATTTTTTTTATGAAAAAAAGCAGCAACTAAAAGTTGTGTGAAAACGTATTTAAGTATATAGTTATCATTCTAACAACTTTTATGCTTAATATTATGCATGCTTTTTATATATGAACATTTTAAAATAAAACTCAAAAAAAAAAAAATTAAATTTGCTTTATATTATATTCCTCAAAAATAATTATTTTATGTACTTTTTATTTTTTTCGCGCACAAGTAACTCTTAAAATTCAGCTTTTTATTTTAAAACGCACAAACAACTGTTACTTTTGCGTTATAAATATAAAAATCATGAATAACTGGCACTGGCTTGCCGAATATTTTTAAAACAAAAATTTAAAATGCATTTTTTTTTAGGATTCCTAAGACCGGCAAAAAGTGTGAATATTTCCTTTATTGATATACACTAGAGCAAAGGGCATGACATTACCAAATAATTAAGGAGAGTATAAGTGAATGATATCTTGCTCAGCACTGGTTAATGAATAAAAGAAATAGCTAAATAGGCATCTCCTCATATCGGGTAAAAAAGAAGACTCGCTAAAGTAGGTTCGATACTACAATTTCGAGAATTTCGAGTATTTTGGTTCAAGATATGAGTAATTATCGAAGATATTTTTTAAAATTAACTTTATTTTTTTATAACTTCTTATAATATTTTTTTGTTAAATATAAAAAATAATTCTATGTTATTTATTATTATTACATTTCTTAGTAAAAGATTAGATTTTATTCATTACAATACTTAATTCAAATAAATTACATTTATAATTACCTATGTTGGATAGTCGAAAATAAACATTTTGTTAAAAAAAAAAAATAAATAAAATGCATTATTGATAAGAATTTAAAAATATTCTTTATTTGATTACTTAATTTTAAACTTATCAATTTAATCTTAAAAAGTTCTGAAAGTCTTTTTTTAACAACAAAGCCATATCAGTATGGGCTGTTAGGGCGTTTAAGTTGTTTCCTATTGACTTGTGGCGTGTGAGTCAAATAGGCTACCGATATAGATAAGATACTACATTATCTATAAAATAAATCCATACATATGTATGTGCGTTATGCAGAATAGTTTATCGAATGATAATTTCCTCATATAAGCAAACATAATTTTGCAATTAGTTCATGTGAACATATGAAAATTATTGTTAAAGAAATAAAAATAAAAAAAACTATAGTTTATTATATCAATAATAATTAAATTAATAAATTTAAAAATAAAAAAGTTTAATTTTAAATTTTAAAAAATCATATATACATTTAGGAATTTTAATTTTTAATAATAATATAATTATATTATTTATAATAATAATTATATTATTTATTTATGTTATTTCCTTTTCATATATAATTTTTGAAGAATTTCGTTTTAAAAGTAAATAAAAATAGATATTTTTTATATTGAAGCTATTTAAGCCAGTGCACTTCAACACTTTTATTCTTTATTAACTCGAGATATCATCAAATCCCTTATTTACGCCTTGACTGGATTATTGTTTATCACTTCATCAGACTAAGCAATAATTAACCTCAGATCTGCATACCTCCCCGAGGAGCCTGTAACCCTTCTGAGATTCAATAACGCGGTGTTGGTCAGTCTGTCAGTTTTCGCAAATAATTTCGTGGCTATATCCTATATGTATTTTTGATCGGTTCAATCAATTATGATAATTTTTTTAAAAATATTTTTTGTCATAAAAATAGATTTGAAAATATATGTAATGTTGTACGTTGTTTTTGTGAATTTTTATTTGGTGACATATTCAATAAATTAAGAATATGAACTTGAACCAGTCCTCTGATAATATAGGCGTTTAGTTTTTAAATTATAATTGCTAATACGGATAAAGATTGTCTTCAGTAAAGAGAATGTAGTATTCAGTACTTAAGTGTCTATTCACTGATATATATTGATTAGCACGCAGATCTCTCTGCAAGTCCATTCAATCGATACTCGTTTTGAGCACTTGGAATTGGTGTACCGAAGGCGTTCGAGTATGATTTTGGGAGCTTTGCTATAAGTGATGATGTTTAGCCCTTCTTCTTGTTGGCTTATGAAGCCAATGAATAGTTTAATTTTGGGACTAAACTTGTGACTACTTGAAGGCTGGTAACGGTAATGAAATGTTTGTATCTCTTAAGCTAGGTTGCAGCTGGATCAATAGTTTTTCTGGGAGAAGTTTTTGTCGAAAATAATGTTTAAGTATTTCAGAGTGTTTTCCCATTCTATGAGAGTGTAATTGACGCGAAATGTGGGCATATGTGATTATGCTTTGTAATAATAAAAATCACTTTTCTTTTCCCATGATCACATATCGTACTTACATTGAATGATGCAAAAAGAATAACATACAGTGTTGTTGGTCTATTAGTACTTACGTTATTTTTTTTAGACAAAAGTATTGTATAGTCTTTAGAAAAAGTCACTTATAATTATAGTAAATTTTTATTTTTATGTTAATATATTAATAAATTACTTTAAATAAAATATAAAAAAATGTTGATTACTATTACTAATTACATTTTTAATTTATATGCCTCTGCATACGTTATAATAATAAACATGTATAAAAATTAAGAAACATTTTTGCACACATGCATATATTTTGATACTTATATATCATAATATTTAAGAATCATATTAAACAATTTAATTATATATCTTTATCAATTTTTGGTTCATGTCTATACCACTTGTTAGCACAACTTAGGTATATGCCTATAATAATGAGTACCACACCTATTCCAAGAATGCCATAACCAACGTAGCGTGTTATACTTGGAAGGTTCAAAGCCAACTGAAATATAAAAACAAAGTTTTGAGATAAAAATTTTGTTGTAATAAATATATTATATATATATTGTATTATATGATATATTATATATTAAAGTGCTTAAAAGTAAAAGCAAATAGTTGTTGCTGTAACCCGTTGGGACCTGCAAGCATATGACATGAAAGGATTTACAACACGATTACATTGGTGGGGAATTGTATGGGTAGTGGTTGGTAGTGATGAAGAGGGGAATGAGAATAAGGGGTGGATTGGTTGGGTGGGATTTAATTGAACATTATTCCAGGTCCAAATGGAGAAACTTAGCCACTTCAATGGGACGGGACTTTATAAAGTAATTAGTAGACCTTTGTTATGAATCTAAAATTTTTTGTAATAATCAAAAAATTCTTGCCGATCTAAAAATCGGCAGAGTGAATATTCTTAATGATTTTGTAGCTATTATATTTTGAGCATATTATGTTATTAATTACTGTACGATTACTATTAGTTTTTTATTATGAAGAAATTGTAGTATGGGAAACAGTGAATACAAAATTTAAGGAAACTAGGCGAAGTAAACATGATTTTGTGGCTTCATGTCTGAATATCTTTTGGTAAAATTCTTGAATATTCTTTATAAAAAAAATGTTGCTTTCCAAACAAAATGTAATGTTGATTGAAGGTAACGGAAGTAATACGATTTAATTTTACATAACTTTAAATTATTATTTTTAGAGCTCTGTTTAAAAATATATAATAATGACAATCAACAAATTTCAGGTTAAAGTTGAAATCATAATTTTTTATCAAATAGATATGAGCTAAACAAATACTTCAGGAGTTGATTCAATTAGTATATAAATATTATAAGTTTCATTTTCCACATTATAAAAATATCATTACTTACCCTAAGTTCCTTAGCCAAATCTTCACTGATAATGGCTTTGCTGGACGAAACAAATAACGGCGCATAAAACTCTGGTACGTTTTTTAAAATGCTGTAAAAAAGTATAAATGAAATAAAATATTATAAATATATCTCCAACTCTTAAGCCATTCATAATCATGTTGTATAAGTATAGGAAAAAATATACCGACTCTACTCCCTACTCTACTCATCATAAACCCTACTCTCATCATAAACCGAGACTGTGTCAAGTGTTTATACACAAAGGTATAAAGTGTATTAAAACCTTAAAAACGATTACAAGTCCATATATATTCTTAAAATTTCTGTCCATTATTTTATTTAATTTTTTTGGTTGAACCAAAAATTTTAGTTAATTTAAATTTTTCGCAAATATCTCAGAATTTATTTAATATTTTGTTGAGGTAAAATTTGTTCAAAGGAACTTTAAAAATTTTATATTAAATAAAAATATATCTTAAAAACTTCAAAAATTTGAATATGTATGGAATCCACTTACGTGATATCGGTGTCCTTTTGTACCAACAAACTAACTTGAACTGCTGCATTTACTTGTAATGGTACACCCAATTTCCTTTCCATTATTATAAAGAAATTATCTCTTTCAAAATCAGAAAATAAGCCTGATACTGTGTCATTGTAACTGGGATCAGCATGCATGAAATTAGGATGGGACAAAAACATAGGTGCACCATCGGCACATGGTCCCAGATCTGTAACACCAGTTTTAGGACAATTATCCGGAGCTTTGTCAGCAGGGCAATAACATTCCATATTTGGATTGAGTTGTCCATTATCATAAGTATCTGCCTTAGTCTCATATTTCATGCCCTCAATACCATTAATGGTGACCATCTCACCAGTGGGTACGAGATTAAGTATACGGCAAGTATCCGTTATATAAATGGTGATATATTTATCTGCTGGAATATTTGGTACAAATAGATCAGCAGTGCTACCATTTAAACGTCCACATTCACCTTCATAGAAACCTGTGTGATTCATTCCATTCCAGAATTTAATTTCACCCATTTGTGTTAAATCATCCTGACCGGTGTGTATGGTGAAAAGACCCTCAAATTCTTTTGTACCATTGCGATCTAAGAACCAAGCGAATTCATTTGATGTTATTTTCTCCGTCTCCGAAGTATTTTGTTTCATAGCAAAATCCAGAAACTCATCATAAAATCCATCGAATAACCATTCACCAGCGGTGTGGGTTTGATATAGCGCACCTCCATTATTATTAAGGGCTAAATTGAATGCGATTTTTACAAGTATGTTTCTATCGCGGATAGCATGAGAGGCAGCCTCAAAATTAAAGGGGTATTATACATTTTTATTGTGAAAAATAAAATACTTGTGTTACTCACTATAGATGGTAAATGCGGAGCAGTAATCAAATCATCTTGTTTACCAACCGTTAATTCAGGCTCATAGTACCAAACTCGTTTACCGTAAAAAGAAACTGTCTTATTTGCATGCCATACGATATCTTCCTTGGTTTTGACCTCACGATACACGTAAGGACCGACTTGCTGAAAATGTGGCTTCACTCCAGATATTTGTACTTCTCTCGCATTAGTCCAATTAAATAGATACATATGAAGGTAGACTGGTATTGGCGTAACACTCCATTTGTCATATGTCTTAGAACCTGGCGCCAAGGGCAGTGACTTTCATTTACATAGAAATGAAATAATTTAAGTTGTATATACAATGCCAAGGATATTGCTTGCTTACATTAAGTACAATATTATCCACCCATTTGGGTACCCAAACAATATTGATAATTGCTCCAATTATGAACATAATTCCTAAACCGAAAACCCAGCATTTTTGCTGAGTGACACTGCAACAGCGGCAGCACATTTTAACACCTGTGATGTCTGACTGAAATTGTTAGCGATTATCGATATCTTTAAGTCTTTAAGTCAAGGCCTCTAATCGAAGTGCATAACCACACATAATTCTAAATGATTGCTTAATTACTTAACAATAGCAGCGATAAGAATTGGTAAGTGATTAACCTAATCTCTTTATTTTTTACACAAAGCATCGAAATATTTTAAATTTAAGGTGTAATCGGAAAATAATTTCAGTACTGAATAATTTGTTTAACAATCAACTACAAAATCAATTTTACTACATCTATTAATAAACATTCCAATTTTTATAGATTTTAAATAATTCAACCAATCGGTGAAGTAACCAGGATTATGCCAATAGGGGTACTGGAAAATATTTCTTTTTTGTCATTATTTTACAGTGTATTATCTGTAGGTTATGTGTGTTGCCAAGCGGGGATTTATTTCTATATCACTCCATGGCTACGCCACTGCAACTAATTCACAATTGCAACAGCGTAATTATTTCATTTGTCACACCATCGATTTATCGTTTCTAGTTACTAAGATCGTCAATTACATTTTAATCTACAAGTTTTAATAGATCTACAAGTATAACTAATCAGCTAATCAAGTCTTATCAAAGCCAGACAAAGCAATCAAGTATCGATAATATTGTTTATGTTGACTAAATGCATTTTATTTACCTCTTACTAATTCAATTAGAAATTTTACCCATAGTGTTAATATATTAAATATAGAATATATTCAAAGAAACCCCCTGTCTAAAGAGCATTAATTGTAAGAGCAAAGGACATTTAAACTTAAGATACTTCGGATGAAGACTCGACTTATTTTGTATACCTAAGTGTGTTTTCAATAATTCTCATATTTTGCTCATATAGAAATACATTTCAATAAATGGATAAATGGAAAGATTGAACGATATGTAGGCATCTCTTTGGCCACGTTCCACTAAAAAGAAATCCAATTCTCTTATTGAGATACCGCTTTATTACTACCAGTCTTCTGGTATGTTTGCTTACAGGTCATTGTAAATTAGTTAACCATGCTGGAAGATTAAATCTACCCTTCAATTAAACCAGTTGTAGCTGTGGCTAGGCGATAAAATCGACTCTGATCTGCTTTGTCTTTATCCAGCTAATATACGGCGGCGGCTCAATACTTCAGGGGTTCCTTTCTTTGAGGAACTTGATCCTCAACTTCAAGAATTCCCTCGAAACAGCATTTAAACCTTCGAAAAGGTTCCAGGTGGTTTTAAACATCGAATTTCTCCATTATACGATAACACAATGCGACAGAGGTCTAAGTGGATCACCGTTGCATCCCCGGTATAACCTAACCTAATCTAGAAATTGATTTGTCTAAAGTCAATGTTTTTGTTGTTTAATTTTTGTAGTAGTAAGAAACGTATGGCAGCAAAATAGAGTTAAAGAGATTCTACCTTAAGGTACTGCATTAATTCCTGATAGCAGAAATTTCAACTTATCATTTAACTAGTTGGCGGTAACTCACAATGATGATTCCGTTGCAAACATATTGTATCATCTTGTGGTCATTTCTTGAATAGAGCTTTTATATAACTACAATGTTAGGCTATATGATTAGATTTTCTTTACCTCTAACTTTAATCTGCTCTAGTTTTAATAACAATTCGTAGATGAAAATACAGTTCTTTAAAATTTCTGTCATTCAGTTCAATTGGCAGCCGAACATTAAACTTCCTTTTATATCCGATTGAACTACTCGTTTACTTATTGCTCATAATTAAATGTTCTTATAGTTTATCGCTACTATAATCAGATTGTTCGGGACTGTATGTTGAAAAAACCGAGAAGCAGTAGAGTTGTTTACTGTAGAGTGTTACATTGCTTTCTTTGCAAATAGCACTTTTCTTGACATTGTTATGATACTGTGAGAAAGCACTTTGCTTCTACTAACATATGCTAAGAGTGCATGAAATGCGCTTCAATATAGCATTTTTAGTGCATATGTTCTATAATGTATCTTGTGTGCAGCGATACAGCCATACAGCGGAGCATTTGAGATTTTTAACAGCTAAGCATCAAAGCGCAACAAAGAAACAAATTAACAAGGAGAGCAATCCGTTTGTTAGTGCATCATGTGAAATGCAACGTATTTATTGGGATGCTGTCTATATCTTCTTCTTTTAAAATGAAAGATTTACTTTGTGAACTCTGCTATGTACATATATTTTCTAAAAATATTTGAAAATAATAAAAGCAATAACAAAAAATTATATCTTCATAATCATGCTACCGAGTGAATATTGTACACCGTTTATTGATTTTATGTAATTTTGGCTTAAAAATCGTAAATACCTGCTATATTTATCAAACCTTTGCAAAATTTAAATAGAAATTTCAGTGCAATTTAATTGATGTAATATTATTTCATAATGATATGTTGTCAATAATGTACTTTAACTGAAATTATATTCTATCAATTACATATTTTGGTTTAATTCTGCAATTCACCATAAATGATGTATCACACAAAAATGATTGCATTATGAATTCAATATCTAATCAAATGAATCTGTGCAAACTATTTATCTATATGGTTGAGGTAGGTATCGGTAAGTCCTACAAACAAACTCAAAAATCCAATTAAAATAAATTCTTGTAATAATTCATCTTAGCAATATATGTGTGTATATTGTGGATACTTTAAATACTAAATATAAGAGCTTTAAGATTTTAGAATATTTATTGTGCTTAATATCAATTTAATAGTTTTATGCAATAAAATCAAAAAACTCTTAAAGTACATCAATGTTTAGTAATCAGTTAACTATTTAAGTAAAGCCTCTGGTCAATTCGCCACCTGACATACTTCCGAATAATTTTAATAGATTTTCCACAAATAAATAGAGAATTCACTACGTGCAGTAAACAAATAGATTCCCGCATACATATTAAGTCATTTATCCACTTAACCAAGACACACATAAACGAGATACTCGAAATAGACACAACACATGGATTTTCACAGACTCGTAAAACTGAATAATCAAATTTAGTGGTTGAGGCAGGTTGGCTACTTTACTTAATGACATCTCTCTCAACTGTTAATCGTCTAACTTACGAACTCCACCTGTGCTTATCACTCCGTGTGGAAATGATAATTTTGTTTTTATTGCTTCGGTAGGGTTGCGTAGCAAACGAAATCCTTAATAGATAAGAAATATGAAACTTATATATATAATTGAAAACCACTTACTTTTTGTATAAACTCTAATTTAGTTCCTATTTTGCAATACTAATTAATAGTAATTATTATTTAATTTGTGTTTTGTTTATTAATAATTTCCAGATTTTTTGTTTTTAATTATATTTTCGTATTAATAATAAAAAATATTTTAAGTTCAATCATTCATATTAAATGAAAAATATGTGTTCATAATATATACGAAGAAGAATGTTTGTTCAAAGAAGAAGGTACATTTTTGTTCTAAAAATATTTATATATTTTATATTTCTCCAGGTAAAAAATACTTGTACCAGCCCTTTTTCGAATCATCAAAGTACTTCAAATATTTGATTTCTATTATTGTTACTATTATTAAATAATAGGCTATGTATGGACCCCCAACTAAAAGATCTATTCTGCGCCTAAAAGCCCAACTAAAATAATTCTAGACTATTTATAAATCTCGTAATTACTGTGGGCTTAATTTTTCCTATTTCATTTCGGACTAAGATCCCGCTTCAAAGGTAGTCGAGTCTACGTCTCACCGCCGCTGAGCAGTTGTATAGAATATGTTCTGATGTTTATTTCTCCTCATGACAGAGTCGACAGGAATCACACTCTACCGATTTTTGGTACGGCTTTGTACTCTTCTAGCGGTATTATTTTTGTTTCCACGATCGTGTCAAATCTCCGTTGTTTTATGTATCTTTTGTGTTTCATAAATTAAGAAAATAAAAATTATAGAAAAAACATCGATTTATATTACGATAATATTTATTTCATCTATGTTGCGAATTTAGTCTAAAGTCATCATCAAATTAAACTATATTCAAAATCGTTTAAAATAAAACATAAAATACTTAAATTAAAATAATATATAAGTAAATTAAGAAAAGATATATAAATCAAAATAAATATTTACATAATAAAAATGCTCACATTTCAAATACGAGTAAAATACACATATAATAAAAAGGGTTATATATATATATATCCAGTCGTGTCGGAATCTCGGCAAGAAGACAATCTTAATCCATTTTATTCAATATCATAATGGTTGAGATAATATCAGCTGTAAAAGTTTCAGGTAGACATTAAGCACTTGGTATAGAAATACAAATAGCAATAAGTATAACCACACCAAATTTGTCCTCTCTGAAATCCGTAGAATCACTTCAGGTTTTCTACTATATAAATGTATGCCTTTACCATTAATGGTGTTAAACATTTTTATTTGGTTATTATTTATATAATTTTAATTGCTGAATTCACTGTTGTGTAATATTATATAATATTATTTTATATATATAATATTATATATAATAATAGGATGTAGCAACTTAATTAAAAGAATTTAGAGATATTATCAGTACTTTTCCAGAAATTGCAGCTTTGATTGCTTGTCCTGTCTCAACCTCATTATGATTCATGATTCTTGCTTTTTAGCGAGTCTATAAGATATAAGTTAAATATAATTAATACCGATGACAAAATTTCTGACATAACAGAAATTTACCGAGGTTACTTCAATTCGTGTACTGGTGCTTATATTGTCTGTAACTCTTAAATAATTATATGACACATAATAAAATTATAAATATTTTAAGAACAGATATCGAAGAAGCAATGAACCAGATTTTATTTGATTTTCTCCCTTAACACATATAATTTCTGCAATTCATAGTCATGCGTATGTATCCAAGTGTTAATGTATGTATACATATATCATAATAAATAAATCGTTTGGAGATTTGAAAGAATATACACATATAGAATATACACATGCTTTACACATATTAGTAATGAGATAAAAACGATTTTTAACATTTTAGACAGGAATCATTGTAATACCTCTCTCCAAATATTCTTTAAAGTGCAAAATCGTAAGTAAAAATCAATTACCATCAATAATACGTCTGTCCGTCCTTAAAAGTTCGAGTATTTTATATTACTTTATTGTATAATTATATGTTACTTATATCTACTTTATATAATATGTATATCTATATACTATTTTTAACATTTGTTTAAAAGTCACCAACTAAGCAATAAGAAGGATCTAAATAAAACATACCGTCATACATGCACACTACAATAAATCGGGACAAATGATATAGTTCCATGACTTACATTCAAGCAACATCTGGCACTCTTATTGGTATTTTGTTTTGATCAGCATATTTTTTTTTACAACATTGGAATTAATGAACTCTACATGTAAGGTATATTTGATACAAGCAATCAACTTCAATCTTTACAATTGCAGCATTTTGGTTTCCTCTCATTTCACCAAGGAGCCCCGTAATCGGTCTTAGAATGCACTTGATACCTTGATAACCTTGATACCACTTGATACTTAAGTGAATCGTACGATATATATGCTGTTGTCATATAAATTTTTTCATAATAAGGCTTAATAATATTAAAGTGTTATAATAATATAAGGATATATATAACGTAGTTATATATTATACAATTCATAATATAATAAATAAGTTAATATTTTGTAATAAGAAGCATAACGTGTCATATACGTTATATATAAAGTATAATAAAATATATTACATGCGATATATATATTACATACGATATATATGATACATACGACCAAATACGATATATAATATCGAAGGTTTCGCACATAAACAACTCGAGGCGTTGGTTAAGTAAATTCTTCCCTAATATATGGACGAATAAAAACTAAGTCATTGCATCTGAAATGCAGCAATTACGGTGTCGGTACATACCTTTTGAGTGTATGTATTTACGATTAGAGACATCAAGTTATATTTGCCTTGAAATGCACCTTTTATATTTAATATATTGATTATGTATGAATCACCAAGTATTATAAGCTATAGAGTTTTAATAATGCAAAAATTCTGTGAAAAAAAGAGTTTAAAAAACAGTTCGTAGATAATAAAGTGTTAATAAAAAATGTGTTATAAAGAACTAATAAAATATTTTCAAATTTCTTTAAGACATTTATGATGTCTGATTATCTCATTTCTCACACTGAAAAATGGCATTTTTCTTGGGCAAAGCTTTATTAACCCCAATTTGCGTCACTATCTTATGCACTCCACTTTCAATGTTTTATTGTTTAGTTAAGCAAGTGTGGCCCATGAGTTTTGAAGAGCAATATTAAATGCCGAAATGTGTAAAGCATATATATTGTTATGGCTATATAGGTTTGTAAGTAGCTTAGGAATTATTTCATTTACGCATTTTATTAACAAATCAGCTAAAACCAGTGCATCACTTAGCAGTAAATGTGTTATAACTTGTTTTGGTTTACATTTTCCATCAAAAGAGTGGAGTGGAGTCAAACATTAGCTGAATGATCTTCTAAGCAATAATCTAAGCCATGGATTATTGGATAATTTATCGGTGTTTGTATGGATAGAAACAGAATGCACTCAAAGTCTTTGTTAACGCGAACGTTCAGTGGATGTATGATGAAATTAGAATACTTAGAAAAATGTGATTGACTATATCTTAAGTGATTACCTGATTATTGAGGAATTATAAAAAATTAATTGACTGATCATGTAACAAATTATACCTATAAAGGTAAAAACAATTGTTGGCATCACCTTAACTCTTCTCCCGAACTTTTTATATACTTCAAGAAAACTGAGAAATTTTAAGTGAGGCAACTATACTCACATTTTTTTGATATTATTTTTTTCAAAATTTTCTGTACTTTTTTTATAGATCTGTTAAGATCTAGTTAAGACCTACTGCTTTCAGGTTTTAGGAAACGGAAACAATGATCTCGTGACTGAATATTCTGGTTTTATGGTACCTGCCAAGCAACTCTACCTCTATATAATTCTGAAGTTGAATGCCTTAAACGTCTATTTGTTTGATTTAGAAATATATTGGATCTATTCAAGAAAATAGCATTATGTAAGTGAAGAACTATTGTCTTTGTTGTGCCACTAATCCAAATCTTTCATTTTGAAGTTAATGATTTGTGATCATTACTAAAATTTTACTTCACTAGTTTACATTACTCTTCAATGCCACTTAAAATTTATTTTAAATTTTTTCCACAAACTGACAGACTTTGTTTCATATTCGCACAAATGTATGAATCTCTTTGAAATAAAACGTGTTGCATAAAATTTTATTGCACACAAGTTCCTTCAATCTACCAATAACCATTTGCAAATGTTTGTTCATACCCATATGTACTATATGTGACGATGAAGTCCTTCCCGAGCTAGGAATGTGGTTAAATAGTTAAGTTAACGACATTATTAAAATTTTGTTAACTCAACAACTGCTGCGCTCTTAGTTGATTTAATTTGATATATTAAGCAATGCGAAAAAAAATTTAAAAATATTTTAGTCAATATGTATTTACATTTATTCTTACTTATATATTTATATATGTAAATAAATATTATATAATTTGCAATTATTGAATTGACGCTTAACAATATTACTGTAATTTTAATAGAGAAGAAAAGTTGTTGATGTCATAAAATTTTAAGCTATTTAAAGTAAACTATTATAATACCCATCATTAGTAATCGTTATCTTAGAATATTTTAATTTCATCAATCATATACATATATACCTCAATAGGACAGAGTATTGATTGCTGGTACAACTATCATAGCAAGTTAAGTGCAAAATGTCATCGCTGCCTGGAGGAATCTGAGACGTTTTTTCACACTATTTGAGAATACCCAGCTTTACGCTGGATCAACAAAAAAATTCATCCTGACATTAGAAATTCCTTAGTGAATTTCTGGACTCTATTCTGGAATGAAAACTGCAGTACAAAAGAATTAATGGTCACAGTACTTCGGCCCAGTTAGATTATAGGTGCATTTATTTCACAAATCTTTCTTTGTATTTATATACAAAAAAAGATTTGTATGCAATTCCCCTACACCTTTCTTCACGAAACAACTTAAGTCACTCGCATTGACGATTACCTGCTGAAACTCGCCCGACTGCACCTCACCCGGCTACACAACCTCACCCCCGACGTCTCTACCCCCGGCATCCTCCCAGCAAACATCGTTCAATTTATACAATTTAAACCTCCATAATAGTTTTCGCTACATTTCGATGAGCGGGATTTGAATGCTTAAATCATCCCACTTCACAACTGTGACTTTTGTGTTTCCGGTCATAGAGCTAACACTTGTCCGCCTCCAACGCTTCCACAATAACCAAGCGTCTTCCAACTACGTAGCCACTTGAATTTAAAGACTTCAATTTATTTGTTCCATTTCGTGAATTTACTATTTTAAAGCAAAGTACTAAATTTTGATAATTTTGATAAAGCAACCTTCAAATCCTTCGTGTTTATACAATTTCGTATTTAAACAAATTATTTATGTAATATATTTTATTAAATATTTATAATCACAATCACAATTAAAAAGTGTTTAGTTACACAATTACATAAACAATTAAAGACATTTAGTAAATTGTTTAAAATTCTTAATTTTTTTTATATAACACGTAGAAGGAGCAACAATATATATCAACATCAATTCTGCGCTTTCTACTTAATGCTTCACACACACACAACTGCTAAGATATAAGTTATAACGGATATACATATTTCATATGTGACGAAACATATTCAGATTTAAGGCATCAGCAACATCAGCAAAAGCTTCGATTTCAGAAAATGTAATGCAAATGTCAAAGTTAGTAGTTTAGGCTTCATCCCCTTCGGCTTCCTGAGCCTTGCGGCTTGGCTAATCAAAAAAACGGCAAATATAATTATTTATTACATAATTATTTCCAGATTAAGAGATATACTCCTATATAAGACATACCTTGGGATGCATTAAAATAAACGGCAACTCAGCACATAGTTCGCCACCCAAAGCGCCCAAAAATAATTTGACCTTTACAGCATAAGAAACAATAATTCCAAAGGCATCACGAGCATCTGGACTAGCGACACTGAAAAAAATATATTATCATTTGTGATGTTTTATTTTAGATTTGCTTTTCTCTTATTACAACTCACAGTGTAGTTGAAGCCAATGAAGTTTCTTTGCGCTTAAGATCGCCCTCAACAGCAATACCTGCACGGTCACAATTGGCTGCCAAATTTGGCACCAAGTACATGACTTTCTGCAAGCTGGAGCCCGGATTCAATGGGCAACCCTCACTAGTCTCCGAGAAAGCAATCATATTACGGAATTGCCCATTTTGGAAAAGCACTACATCGACACCTTGTTGCACCATAGCCTTGATTTTCTTGACAACCTTATTCGAATTATTACGTACGCAAATATTAACAGCAATCTTCTCGCCATGATGATACAATTGCTTATCCAAAGTAACTTCCAGTTCAAGCTCACCAGGTGACAATAGGAAATCTTTACGTACCACTGTGCAAGGTTGTATGCCCTGCTTGGTAGGTGCATATTGCACCTTGCGTATAGCCAAATTGACAGTGCTACGACGATGGGAACGATCGCAATCGTTTTCACCGGCAAAGACCTTGACAAAATATTGTACGCCGCAAGGTTGAGTGTCATCAGCAGCTTTTTGCTGTAATACAACCGAAGCTGGTGAGCTTGGTGGCATTTCCATAACAAATGGGAATGCATTGGAACCCAGCTTCTTAAGCAAACGTTCTTGCATTTTAGTCATTTGTATATCCACCTTTTCTTGTGGATGTACTTGCTGCGACACCAAAGTCAATTCCTTCTGAAAACGTAAGCCAATCATTTCATCATCCTCACGTCCATAACGGAAATTGCAAACCAGCTGAACGAAAATCCTGCGATTTTGACGTACATACTCATCATCGAGCACAATGATGCCATCTAAAATTTATAAAGAAGATACTTTTGTATTTGGAGGTTTTACAATTAAAAAATATATTTAATGAATAAAATTAATTTTATGTGAAAAAAAAATTATTTCATTATTTCTAAATCTATGCAATGCACAAGTACGTCCGGTCTGATCTTGTAATCACTCATTATTTATGGCATCATTTCATGCCATAAGCGAAGTCTCTTTATATACAGATATTGTTATAAGTTATAGTAAAAAACTAGAGCCTCCTTCTGACATTAGGAGTTCCTCAACAGTCGACATTTTCGCCTTCATTCGGAAGGCGAAATGTCTTTTGTTCGGTTAGGGTCTATTGCTAGTACCCCATACATTAATATTCCTACAGTAAAAAACTATTTAAAAGTTTTAAAATTGTTCCTAAAAATATGTTATCTTATTAAAATGAAATCTAACATATGAAATACATTCCAAATATCATGGCTTCGTCTTGAACTTCAGCAACCGAATTTTTTTATAGTTCATTGTTGAGGTTCGATCATTTATGTTATAGTCTTCGGTTTTGAGTTCGTGATTTTAACGACATAAACGTTTACGAGATAAAATTATGATTTTAGTTATTTTACAAACAGTTACTACGTATTAGTATTTCCGGTACGTCTGGTATTTCCCCTAATAGCATGCTCCATATAAAGCATGTTACAAGTATGAATAAGATTACCAAGTAAACAATATTATCTACACCATGGTTTCAGCTTATATTAAGAATTGTGTACTACAACTAATGGTTTTAAGAATAAAATTTACTAATTCCGGCGAAGATCATGGTTTTAAGAATAAAATTTACTAATTCCGGCGAAGATCATGGTAGGGTGTGTGAAAGATATACATCGATCTTTCTAACTTATGCTGTTGAGAACACACCGCAACTTTGTTTGGCTTAACTGAAAGTAAACAAGTTCTGGAGTTGTTAGACAAGACGTATTATTTATATAATACTCGGAGAGCCTTCATCCCTCCACGTTATGTTCCAAAATTTTTTTCTGGGGCATCATAGTATCTAAGACTACTATAGATGCTATATCCATTGATTAGTGTTCAAAATGCGAAAATATTTATAAAATATATACAATAATAGTTACAAATATGATCGACTCTAATATATACTTTACTTTTAAACTCTGTTAGTTTTATTCGAGATTAAATATGATAAAGATACAGTTTTTATAAGATCTTGGTTATCCACAAGAGCTCTATTTAAAAACCATCTAATGACTTATTAAGATTATTACTTACTGCTGTAACCCAAATTATTAAATACATTATATGTGTAAGGATAAAATAAGATATATACAGACTATCTATCGTACTTTTATATTTTTACAATTTTTTGACTCAGACGAGTGAACATTTTTTTAAAGTTCACTTAAACCTATAATACTTAATTAGTATAAATAGGTACTAATTTCATTTTAAAGCTAACTTTAGAAACTTTTGATCTCTTTTATATACTTCCAATAATGTTTATGTATCCATATTAGTGTTTATGTGAGAGCAAGGCTGCTAATCCAACCTAATCTAATCTACTTATGAGTATCTAATTTTCATGTATAAAAATTTTTTCGAAATTTCGATTAGGGTTTTTGTTGGATACTATAAAGGCTGTCACATTTTGACTATGTGCTAATCTGTAGAAATCATAATTAGAAAAAACAAATGGCGATGGATACGCCATACGTTTCATCAGAGGGATTCAAACACCGTAAAATATTATTTTAATAGAACCCTTAAGGATTTAGTACACCTGACAGCTCTCACACTACTTGGGTGGGGTTTTTTCACTTAGAATACTGACAGTATGAATCATTAGTTGCAATTTGACATAGTGCTCTTGATTGATTGATCAAACTTTATTTTCTTTATATGTCTTAATTAAAAGCACTGATGCTAACCAATGAAATATTAATAATACTGAGATATATGTAATATATGATCTCAACAAAGCAAAACAAGAAACCTATAATTGGTGCTCATTAACGGAATATGATACAGTATAGATATTTGAAATGGTAAAGACTCGGTATAGATTATAATAATATTCATATAATGGGAATTTCAATGAAACTTTGCTTAAAGCAAAATTTGGAATAGATTTAATACATTAGTCATGGTAATTAATCATGTATTATTTACACATTGGAAATTGTTTTAATGTTACTCCATCTAGAATATATATATATCTAGAAGAATATATATATTCGATGGCATATATATTATTAGTAGATATATATATTTTGCTATGGGCTTAAGTAGAGGCTAACACGAATGTAAGATTGTTTAGGAGAGATTTTCGTTTAAGAGAGCAATCATATAATAGATCGCGTTCACCGTAACAGTAGTCGTACTTATATGAAATTATTTGTCTATATTTTTTTTCATACCATATATTGTATATAGAATAAAAATTATTTTTAATTAAGTTTCAAAGTCGTTCATAGAATGTGCTATGATCTTACCTATTGGCTCTACGACTGTTACAGAGTCCACAAATTCTCGCCTGTTCATGTACAGGGTAACCATGTTATTGGGTGATGATTTCTTGAAGACCTTAAAGTTGACAACCATTTTGATGCTTTCTTTTTCTAACTCTTCTTTTCAAAAATTATAGTTGTAATTTTTTTTTTATATTAGTTTAATAAATAAAATTAAATTCGTATGTAATTTTTAATTCTCTCAGTTTTTAAGATAAAATCACTTTCACTTTAGAAATTGATTGTTTCTTCTTCTACACTCTTATTAAAAATTTAATATTTTTTTAAATATTACTTTTTATTTAAAAATGTAAATATTTTGCACACTTCGAACGATTCGTTTCTTCACTGAGGTTTTCGGTGTCGCATGGGTGTCTCAACCGTAACGCGTTTTCCCACACTTTAAGCCAGCGTCAGCTGTACGGTGGCTCTTTATACCTTAGGCTCTGGCACACTTATCTAATTAGTGCGTTACCAAGTTTTTCACGTTTTTAGTTATTATTCACTTTTCCTTAGTTTGCTATTATTGCGTTAGTTAGTTGGTTTGTTAGTTAGTGTTTCGTGGATAAATATATACATTGTTTTTGCATCTTAACGAAACTTATTTTGTAAGGCTTCCAGTGTTTGGTTTTTAGTATCGATTTTCGTTTACAAAATTGAGTGAAATTCGCAATATTTGAGCAGTTTGCCATCTGTTTGGCAACATTCTTCGTCAAAAATGACCCCGAGTCGATGACTCAAAACAAATAAATCTAAACAGAAGACGAGCTGGGGACTTTTGGCCTTAAATGTGCCTTACTTAAGTGTCTTCAACTGTGCACAAACCAACAAACAGCGGCGACATTGTTAATGACATTCACCACATTCGGCACTGTAATCAATATTATTGAATAATGTCAACTATTTGCCTAAGCTGACATACTCACATGCTGACATACTAGCCCATACCCGGCTGGCAGAGTAGTCAGGGTTGGCAGGCATGGTAGGCATGGGATGCATGGCAGGTCTACCTGACCTGGTATACGGCTACGCAAACTAAGTCGCGGATTTAATATTTATTTTTAAAAATAGTAAATAAGTATTAAATAAAAACGCAAAATAGACACAGAAAAAAATACAAGCAAAATAGTTGTAATGAGCTAAACAAATTACAAAATGGATTTAACGGTTAACACATGCCCTTAAATTGAATTTAACATTTACGCATATCGTGTAAGAAAAAAATTATAAAAATTAAATTAATTAACAAAAAATGCATGTAATTATGAGAGACATTGGGAAAAAGCATTAGCTTGCACTGATATCACTGTAATTATATTTATAATTTATAAGCACAGAATAAATAATGCAACAGAAATCATTTCAATATTTGTTCAAATATAATATAAATAAACACAGCAAAAAAAAAAAAATTTATGTACAAAAAAGGATATTAATTAACAAATGTGATTTTCTGAAGTGCAGCAATTTGTACCGGAGCAATGCCATTTGCAACCGCTGCCGCATTCGCAGGGACCGCGGCGATATGTTTGCGATTATTTATTCAATGTATACACATGAGCATTAGTAGACTGACATTAAACTGCGGTTTCGATTAAATGAAACTGTGTCAGCACGACATTTTCAATTATCACTAATAGTCTCATTTATAACAGTTGCATTTATTTATTTTTTTTTTTTTTTTTTTAAATGAATACGTATGTATTTAATACACGATAGCTGGGTATTTTTTTATGGATGAACGTGTTAAGAACTGATTCTTATCATTCAAAGCTCAGAATCTACCTTAGATGAATTTGAAAATTCATACACCAAGTCTTTTATGTTTTACCCTCTGATAACTAGAAAACGATCTCAGTCGGAAATCTCACAGTCTGATGAATACGTAGGTATTTAATACACGATAGCTGGGTATTTTTTTGTGGATGAATGTGTTAAGAACTGATTCTTATCATTCAAAGCTCAGAATCTACCTTAGATGAATTTGAAAATTCATACACCAAGTCTTTTATGTTTTACCCTCTGATAACTAGAAAACGATCTCAGTCGGAAATCTCACAGTCTGATGAATACGTAGGTATTTAATACACTATAGCTGGGTATTTTTTTATAGATGAATGTGTTAAGAACTGATTCTTATCATTCAAAGCTCAGAACTCAGAATCTAGCTTAGATGAATTTTAAAATTCATACACCAAGTCTTTTATGTTTTACCCTCTGATAACTAGAAAACGACCTCAGTCGGAAATCTCACAGTCTGATGACTGAAATCTTCTCCAAGTCTCACATTGTCGCTTTGAGTGTTCTCCATCTACTGTAAAAAACAAAAAAAAATCAAAATTCATGATACATGATACTATGTTTAATAACTTACAATAAGCATCCTCTAGCAACCGCTTAACGTGTCAAAATTGTAAAAACTTGCTATAGAGTAGATGGGTAAGTTGAAGTGGCGGCCTTGTTTCCAAAATGCCTATTTGTGCTCATATAGTAACATTGGTACGTACATAGATTTATATCAGTGTACAGCCACCGCCAAAAAAGATAACGATTCCCACATTAGGTAAAGGAAACCAACCTGACAGTTCTATAAACTTGAGCAGGTCCGTAAAATTATAGAATGACAGCTCAGTCAGATCGGTGAGAAAAGTGGATCCGAAGATTTTTGATCTTTTTCTAGCTAAAGTAGGGCACTATCACATGAGATGAAGCACGGTCTTCTCCTCATACTCATCTTCATCACCAGATTTGTGCTAAAATGAAATTCATGTATTGTACATAATTTAAGTAAATATTTAAGATAAAATTAGCCAATAAATTATATGATATAAATTGTAAAATTGAGGTACTGCTAATAATTTCTAATTTTTAATTAATAAATAATTAATATAAAATATATTCATTATAAAATATATTTAATATATTTAATAAATTTAGTTTATTCAAAATTACTTTCATTTAAATTTTTGAGATAGTTTGCGCAAAAGCTTCTCAAGAATTAAGTGTTTGGACAACTCTACATAGAAATTCCTGAAGTAATACCTTATGATGTGTCTTTAAAACTATATTTGATGAACCAATTTTGTAGGAAAAAACTATTTTTAAACATTTTTAAATATAGGTGTAAACCCTTAATACTGTATAGCGTGTGTTTCAGTCCTTTACATATTATATTGATTAGGTAGTACAAATATTATACAGATCGATTCAGCGGTTTAAGAAAAAATAGAATTTAAATAAATTTTTTTGTACAATGGCTACTCTAAATATTGATCGTAAATATAAAGGATTAATATATGTATTGTATGTATAGCCTTTCTTTACCACTTGTTTTTACGCTTATAATACGTTTATAAATTATGATTCATCGATTTAAAAAAAAATGGTAATCTTCCTAGATATTGTCCCAAAGTAAGAATTTTATAGCCCTTTTTAGGCATTTTTATATAGATAGTATGTGGTATAAATATTATGTTACTATAAGTAAGAATTTTATAGTGGTTAAAGGAATAAAAACACAATTAATGTATCTTAATACGTATATACGTATATATAGAGATATATATTTAATATTATATTATATATATATCATAACTATATATTTGTTTTTAATATGTATAGATATATTTTATAAATGCATAAGAATATTTAAAATTTTTCATATTTGTATTATGCTAATCATTTTTTTTTTTTTTTGAAATTTCTGATATGAAATTGTTTCTTCCATTCCTTATACTTATTAATTAAAGACAAAAGTATTAACAGTGCAGAAATTCTATTCTGTTTTATTTTTTCATAATTTTTTTTATTCATTAATTTCCTTTCCAAGGAATTGCACAACTCCTTCTAAAAGCTTAGATTGCTCTTGAATACGTACAAGTTTCTACCAAACTACCAGACTATATACATAAATATGTATATACTCGTACAAATATATATAAGTGTAGAAAAATCAAAAGTAATTTTTAAAGGAAATTGACAATTACTTTGTTGCAATACTTTACAGTACAAAACGTAAAGTCGTTCCTTTCAGTTTGTTTTAAAAATAAAAGTTGGTCAAAAGTGAAGCAACATTGAATACCAACGAGTATGAGATTTAAAAAATGTTTAAAATAAATTCTATACCATTGCCAAGATACAGACACATTCAAAAAAACTACTCTGCAGTACTAGACGGAATTCCTACAGCTTTGAACTGATCGGAGGGTGCGATTTGTTACCACCTCCGATGAAGGTGTTTTTTGTAATTTCTTCAACAAAAACGTTTCTTTAATATGAAGTTCCTGTTTAAATTCAAGTGTAGTAACATACAAATATAAACTCTGATATGCTCATGTTTATGTATTACTTGACTCTTGATTGATCTAGTATTATCTTCTTCCATATGGATGACAAAGCATAACACATGTGTGTGCAATTGACTTAGTCTTGTTAAAAAATCTTCATCAAAACCATTGGACATCGCATATTAATATCGGAGTTTATTATAGATAAAGCTTCATGTCATTTGAAGAATCATCTTTTATACACTCCCGTTTTACACGTCTGTCAGTAGATTGAATTTTACTTCTTATTTATGAGTTTTAAAAATGATCGTTAATACTCACCTAAAGTAATCCTGCGTGAAAAAGTTTCGAAACTCTGAACAATACAGATTCAACAGAGATTCACTTTTTCTACTATAATTTTTTTGGAGTACATAACTGATAACTTTCCATATATTTCCTGGAAGTATCCCTTATCTACTCCTTAACTGTAGTCTTGTATATTTAAATAAGAATACTCGATTCAGCCCACGATACGTTAATGATGATTTATATCCAAATAACACATGTGTGTGCAATTGACTTAGTCTTGTAAAAAAATCTTTATCAAAACCATTGGACATCGCATACTAATATTGGAGTTTATTATAGATAAAGCTTCATGTCATTTGAAGAATCATCTCTTATACACTCCCGTTTTACTCGTCTGCCAATAGATTGAATTTTATTTCTTATTTACGAGTTTTAAAAATAATGGTTAATCCTCACCTAAAGTTATCCTGTGTGAAAAAGTTTCGAAACTCTGAACAATATAGATTCAACAGAGATTCACTTTTTCTGCTATAATTTTGTTGGAGTATATAACTAATAGCATTCCATATATTTTCAGGAAGTATCCCTTATCTACTCCTTAACTGTAGTCTTGTATATTTAAATAAGAATACTCGATTGTGGTCACTATACTTTATTGGTAGTTTGTACCCAGATAAAAAAATGTATATGCAGATGAACTGTTTTGATAAAAATGTATTTTCACCAAAATCATTGGAAACTGCAAATTGATATCGGAGTTTATTGTAGATAAAGCTTCATGTCCGTTGAAGAATTATCTCTTATACTCTCCCGTTTTACTCGTCTGTCAGTAGA